TAAAGCAGTGTTTCTCAACCTTGACAATTTTAAGGCGTGTGGACTTCAACTCCCACAATTCCACAGCCAGCATTGCTGGCTGTGGAATTCTGGGAGTTGAAGTCCACATGCCTTAAAATTGTCAAGGTTGAGAAACACTGCTCTAAAGGATGTGGAGAGAGAGAGAGAGGACTAATCCAGATAGGCCAGAAGGAGACACCCCCCCCCCCCCAAAAAAGTCCTGGATTCAGGATTAGGACTCAGGAACATCTCTGATCCAAGAGGGCAGTTTTTACATCAGCTGTTGTGGGGAACCCAGAGGTTTTGCCAATGAGGGTTTTCCACACACCCCCAGCCCCCAGCCAAAGGACTCACTTTCCGGACCGACACTCGGCAAATGCAGGGGTCCAGGAGCCCCGTGGTGGGATTAGCGCTCATCTTGCAGATGAAGGGGAATTTCTTCTTCCAACGCACGCAGTTCTCTTGAACTTCTTCCCTGGGGGGGTTGGGGGGGAGAGAAAAAAAAAAACCAAAATAGGCAACCAGATTCTTCCAAAGGTTTGACGCTTGGGAAGGACTGCAAAGATCCCTCAGAAGGAAGGAAAACCAATTCTGGACAGGCGGTCCTCGACTTGAGCCCACCATTTTTCTGTCGCTGTGCGAGGCGGTTATTACGTGAGCTTCGCCCCGTTTTACGACTTTTCTGGTTGTTAAGTGAATCGCCGCAGTTGGTGAAGTTTGCAAGACCGTTAGTTAAGTGCATGGGGCTTCCCCTGCCGGCGCTGCTGGTCGCCAAAGGGGAATCACGCGAGCCCCGGGACGCCGCAACCGTCGTGAAGACGAATCAGTTGCCGGGCGTCTGAATTTTGACCACGGTGACGCCGCAACGGCCGTTCAGCGTGAAAAACGGACTTAGGTCGCTTTTTTTCCCCAGCGCGGTCGTCATTTTGAATGGTCCCTAAATGAATTGTTGTATAAGTTGAGGACTACCTGCATGGTAATTCTCGTCAATCTACTGCTCTCAAGTCAGAGGACATACTTCAAAATAAAGGCCATTTCCCCCCCCCCCCTCGTGAAAACTCAACTCCCGATCCGTGTTCTGGAAGAACTCATTTCGCACCATTGTTTCCTTGAGTGTTTTGCTGAAAAAGCGAAGTGGGGAAAAAAAGCAACACCAAAACCCGCAACTGCCCACATCAAGGAAAAGATGCAGCTGGCTCAGGAAAAAAAGAAAAATGGTCAACTTGAAGAGGAGGAGACTTGCAGAAGCTTTACGTGGGTTGGATCAGATGAGAAGAGAAAGAAAGAAAGAAAGAAAGAAAGAAAGGAAGGAAGAAGGAAAGGAAGGAAGGAAGAAAGGAAGAAGGAAAGAAAGGAAGGAAAGAAGGAAGGAAGGAAGGAAGGAAGGAAGGAAGGAAGGAAGGAAGGAAAGAAAGGAAGGAAGGAAGGAAAGAAAGGGATGGATGGATGGAAGAAGGGAGGAAGGGAAGGAAAGAGATGGATGGATGGGTGAATGGATTGGTAAATGGATGGAAGAAGTGAGGGAGGGAAGGAAAAGAGATGAGAAGAAGGAAGGAAGGAAGGAAGGAAGGAAGGAAGGAAGGAAAAATGAATAGCAGAATAACAGAGTTGGAAGGGACCTTGGAGGTCTTCTAGTCCAACCCCCTGCTCAGGCAGGAGACCCTAGACCATTTCAGAGAAATGGCTGTCCAGCCTCTTCTTAAAAACCTCCAGAGGGAAGGAGGGAGGGAGAGGAAGAAAGAGAAAGAGGAAGGAAAGAAGGAAGGAAGGAAGGAAGGAAGGAAAGGAGGGAGGGAGAGGAAGAAAGAGAAAGAGGAAGGTAGGGAGAGCGAGACCAAGCCAACTCAAGTTGCATTGAAGACAATAGTCACTTTCCCCCACTGCTCTAAATCAGCACGCAATTTGTGACGATGCAAAACTAAACAATATGTGAATGTGGTCCCTTAGTGCTAGTACGCCAGGATTCAACCTGTCAACCAGCCCATGAGGTTTAGGCCTTTGCGACGCCCTCAGAGATCAACAACGGCTCTCGCTTAACGTGGTCCTTTTTGATCTGATTTTGTGATGCCCCGCTGGAAGCGTCGCACCATCGAAAATCAAAAGAGAAAGGACAGCCCTGAAACTACAAGGCCGTGGTGCTTCAACCACAGCCATCGGCGGAAAGTTTGACCCGTTTCAGAAGAATCCGGATGCAAAGGAAGGAAACGGAGGGAGGGAGGGAGGAGCGGAAAAGATAACCCACAAGCAGAGGTGATCAACACAAGAAACTCAGCAATTGGGTCTGGTTTCTCACTTGCTCCATCACACAGTGGCCACATGCACATCTGGGATCCGTTTCTCCCACATGGAAAGTTGGAGATGAGAGATAAGATTTCAGATGCCCCCTTCGGGGTTTTTTTGGGGGACACTATCCTGCAGCAAAGCTGAAACTCAACCTCAAAGATCTCAAGAGGAGGAGACTCCGATTCTGGAACCATACACATTGTTCCTGAAGGCTACAAAGACCTCACTTCCTGTTCCAAAATCGGTGTCACCTCCTGGAAGGTTGAGACCGATGGTTTCCTTGAAACCCCAAGAGCTGAAAAGCCATTGAGAAGGTGCTTTGCAGTTGATCTACTCCTACTTTCCCAACCAGTTGGTCAGGATGGTAAGACGTGTATGCTGACTAAGAGACACGTCACTGAGAAGCAATTCCTTTTCAAGGATAGACCGGAAGAGGAATCGAAGATGTTTAGGAGTGGATGAAGCTTGCAGACCTTCATAAACAACCTAATGTTTCTTCTACATGATCCTGGAAAGAGAAGACAATTAGACAGGTGGGGACAGAGAACCCATGCCTCCTTCACACCTCTTGGCACAACTTGTTGGTGTCTCCCAAAGGTGCTTTTTCAGGAGGCAACTGGGCTTTCTTGTTTTTCTTTGAAGACCTTTCGCTTCTCATCCAAGAAGCTTCCTTCAGCTCTGACTGGAGGGTGGAGGATGGAAGGATTTATACTCCTTGCAGACAGCTGGTCATTTGCCTTCTTTTGGAGAGTCGTTGAGGCCACTTGGAGGTTTGTCTGTGTCCTCAGGGTCACCTGAGTGGTGCAAATGGGTGTGGGGCCTTCTTGGCACTGCTGAAAAGGGCTGCGTTGTGGAGCTGTGCTTTCTGCAGGATGTTTTCTGCCCTGTGTCTGCAAGGAGTGTAAATCCTTCCCTTCCCCACCATCCGGTCCGAGCTGAAGAAGCTTCTTGGATGAGAAGCAAAAGGCCAACAAAGATGATTAGAGGTCTGGAGGCTAAAACATATTAGGAACAGTTGCTGGAATTGGGTATGTCTAGTTTAACAAAGAGAAGGACGAGGGGGGACATGATAGCAGTGTTCCAGTATCTCAGGGGCTGCCCCAAAGAAAAGGCAGTCAAGCTATTCTCCAAAGCGCCTGAAGGCAGGACAAGAAGCAACGGATGGAAACTGATCAAGGAGAGAAGCAACCTAGAACTAAGGAGGAATTTCCTGACAGTGAGAACAATTAACCAGTGGAACAACCTGCCTCCAGAAGCGGTGAATGCTCCAACACTGGAAGTTTTTAAGAAGAGACTGGACGGCCATTTGTCTGAAATGGTATAGGGTTTCCTGCCTGAGCAGGGGATTGGACTAGATGACCTCCAAGGTCCTTTCCAACTTTATATTATTATTATTATTATTATTATTATTATTATTATTATTATTATTATTATTATTATTATTATTATTAACAACGAAGTCCGGTTGCCTCCTGAAAAAGCATCTTTGGGACAACCATGGACTGAGGACTGAGAACCTCCATAGACATTGTTGGTGTCTGTCTAACTCACAAACATAGTTTCTCCAGACCATGTTACTGACATCTAACCCTGTTAAAGATGTACTTCTTTAAGGAGGGGCTCCGAAAAACAACAAGATACACACTTGTCCCCTTTTTCTTCTGATATTGGATCCTGCCCCTTGTTCAGACCCCAGCCATTTACTGGCTGATGTCCGTGGAGGGATGCTCAGCTTGGCTGCCAACTCAACAACTTCGGCATCACCGTTCTGGAATGTCGTTTCCCCCTCTAAACTACACAACAAAAAATGGCTGAAAAGAAGACCAACCAGCTGCTTTTCATTTTTGTTGTTTTAGTTTCAGAGAGAGAGGTCACTCTCTTAGCCAACTGTTAATTCCAGAAGAACTGTGTCAGAGAGAGAGAGAGAAAAACATTTCAGAACATCCCTTTTTCATGGCCAGACCTCGCCGTGCCAAAAAGCATTTTTAATTCTGATTTTTTTCCCCCCACCCCTGGGCTGTAAGATCTGCAAAGGCGTGGTGGTGGGTCCGTGTAGGAAAATGCTTTTAAAAGCTCGTGGTGAACACCCCAAATCTGCAACATTGTGCAGGATTTCGCTCTTTATGTACGAGCAAGGAAATCTGGTATCAGATGCTAGAGATCAGAAGACGTTTTAAACCAGCGTGGGTGAGATAAAAGCATCAGTTGACGGGAACAGATGAAATCCTGTCTGCAAGCATTCTCAGGGTACAAATTAAAGGAAAAAAAACCATGGTTTGAACGGACTGTAGTATCCTACGTATTTCAACAGGCTTCTCTTGTTTTACAGCTGCTAAATCCATGTTCCTGGGATGAAGTGACGTAGCTTGTTCCACCACCACCACCACCCTTCCAGATCCCAAATTCAAGAGATCTTAAAGCAGTGGGCACAGACCCTTATGAGTCAAGGAATCCCGCAACCTCATAGTTAGGGCTTGGGATCACAAGTAGCTTGTCTTCCCATCAGCTGTCCTGACAACGCAACCAGTCAGGGCGAAAAGTCACTCCTTCGTGACTTGGCGCACATCATGCGAGACACAACTGAGCCAAAGTTGATGAATGTCCAGCTGTTTTGTTCTCCGAGGCTTGTTTGTTTCACAAAACAGGGCAGTAAATTCACCAAGACAAGTAAGTCATCGCTAACAAGGGGATGATGTAAACTTCATTACCAGTTGAGCCAAACCGGGGTGATGTATCTCAGTTTTTCTCTGAAGGTCCTTCTTCTACCCACAGAATTACACTCATCCTTCCCCAAACTCACCCAGGGTTTGAGTGGCCTCTGCTCCCCCTCCCCTCCCCAGTTTCCAACAGGCTTTTGACAACCCAGTTCTACCTCTACTTCCAGTTTGTCACAAAGCCAGCATTCAGACCCAGGGCTAAACCGTGATGAACGCCAACCCTGCCATGTGCAACACCAGTTTTGGTCACCAAGATGGTAAAAAAGACGTTGAGACTCTAGAAAGAGTACAGAGAAGAGCAACAAAGATGATCAGGGGACTGGAGGCTAAAGCATATAAGGAACGGTTGCTGGAATTGGGTATGTCTAGTTTAATGAAGAGAAGGACGAGGGGGGACATGATAGCAGTCTTCCAGTATCTCAGGGGCTGCCCCAAAGAAGAGGTAGTCAAGCTATTCTCCAAAGCGCCTGAAGGC